TTTTTTCCTGTGTATGTGTATATGTGGGTGTGGAGAAGAGAGTTCAACCTTGAGTGTCATTCCTCAGGAAGTTTACTCTGGGTCCCTCATTGGCCTGGAACTCACAAACTGTGCCAGGCTGGCAGGCCAGTGGGCCCCAGAGGTCTGTCTGTCTACACCTTCCCAGAGCTTGCATTACAAGGATGCACCATACCCAGATTTACCTGGGTTCTGGGAATTGAACTGAAGGCTTCATGTTTGTGCAACAATCACTTTACTGATTGAGCTTTTTCTCCAGCCCCTAAGCTGTACTTGAACAGGTCATTCATTCTCAGCTTGGTGTTATTTTTGGTCTAGGAATTCTTAGCTCTGGTTTGATGCATGACACTTGAAGTTTCTGCAAAAGTCTGACCAAAGATGGAAAGTCTGAGGCAGTGCTGTTAGCCAGAGGCAACTGTGCTTACCTTCTGGACAGCAGAAATGGCTGCAAAGTCATTCTTGTCTATGAGGGTGTACTTTCTGCGCAAGGCAGACTCCACTTCTTGTTCCTGTTGGCTTGGGAGAGAGAGTAATAACAGTTTGTAATGGGAGCCATGCTGAGTCCACTGGACTAAGACCCAAGTATTAGATTAAGAGTTGGTTAGATAAAGCCCCGGTGATGGAGTCACAGCCTCATCATAAACCAAAACTCAATGCAAATCAAAGGGCCCAACCCTTTCACAGTGCACACATTCCCCATCGTCCAGTCCCGAAACCTATAGAGCCATATCACATGCCTATGATATCAGCTCTAAGATGATAACACCTGTAAACCTGCATGTTTAATAGCACGTGTAAACCTGCATGAGGACTGTGCTGTTAGCTAGGTTCTAACAGGACCCTAGAAGTCAAGTGACCAGTCTGATACCAACTAGTACAAGTTGTTCACCCAAATGTAAGTGTTCCTTGAGGTAGGGGATATGGAAGATCCACGAGGCCCAGCTCTGGGCACAGTCACAGCTGGCACTCCAGAGAGTTCCTGTCCAATTAAAGAACTCAGAAAATATCCACAAGGGACCTAAACACTCAGATCTGGTTCCTTACATAGCACAGAGTGCTCTTCACACACACACACACACACACACACACACACACACACACACACACACAC